GTTAATTAGTAACTTACAATGGTTTTTTTATTAAATTCACGTAAAATACAAAGTCAATCATATTAAAAAATATTTTATCGCATAACACCAATATCTGGTAGGCCTACTTAAGTAAAAAAGAGGGTTTTATGTGTAGTTAATAGATTACACTAACATTCTACTTTGCCCATCGCCCGCTATAGATCAACTAACATGATCTATAAAGGTACAAAATGCATGTACTTACACATACTTGAGAATCAAAATATTTCATGATATAATTAACATGTTTGTGTTTATTTCAACTAAAAAGGAATAATTAAATAAAACAGAGACTATGCCATGCCCCCTCCCCTTCCCATTCACTCATGTCCCCTCAAAAATAATAAGTGCATGACGCCCCTGCCTAAACCCCATATAGCGGACAAAAAACAAAAATCCTAAAAAGAGGTCACAGGCTTTGGACGTACTTTGCCCATCGCCCGCTATAGATCAACTAACATGATCTATAAAGGTACAAAATGCATGTACTTACACATATTTGAGAATCAAAATATTTCATGATATAATTAACATGTTTGTGTTTATTTCAACTAAAAAGGAATAATTAAATAAAACAGAGACTATGCCATGCCCCTCCCCCTCCCATTCACTCATGTCCCCTCAAAAATAATAAGTGCATGACGCCCCTGCCTAAACCCCATATAGAGGACAAAAAACAAAAATCCTAAAAAGAGGTCACAGGCTTTGGACATGCAATTCTGAGAACTCTAAGGAAAGAGCATGTTCTTTTCACATGTTTGGACACTTCAAACAGACGTTTGCACTGCCTGTTTGGTTTAACTATTTACGCAGTCATACACAAAAACGAACGTCTCAAACGCACGTTTTCCGTGACCCCAAAGCACACGTTAAGAACTCGTTTTATGGCAAATCGCACGCTTTTGACGGGTCAGTGGCAAATCATACACCCGTCCTGGGGCCTGTACTTCGTACCTCGTTTAATATATCTGAGATGATTTGAAAGACGCCAGATCTTCTAATCGTGATAACTGATATCTGGCTAATTTGGTTCTTCAAACGAATTTACGGATTTGATTAAAATATCTGGATTAAGCTGTCTACTGCGCGTTCTTGTGTTCCCTGTAAAGGCCAAAGTATACTTCGGCCGTCCGCGCACCATCCGCATTACGTCATTTTCATCATCAAGATGGCTCGCGGACATAAATAATTAGAATTTCCTTTAGGATTTCCAGTGTTGGATGCATTGATGACACGCATATTCCTATCATCGCGCCTTCTGAAAATGAAACTGATTACTGTATGGAATGGAAGGATGCCAGATGGAAGGGTAGTGCGAGATAGGCTATATGCCGTAACCACCACAGCTGTTAAATAAACACAAATTATTCACAATTAATTTGGTCATCTTTATTTCCTACAATTATTTTACAAATAAAAAAACAATTATTCTTTTCCCTGTTGGATTTTAATATTGGTATTGTGGCCATCTCCTCTTCATCTGTCAGTGGTGCTGGTGCAGGTTCTCCCCCCCCACTTCTTGCTGTTGGCTGAGTAGAAGTCAAATGTTTATTTCATTACACTAATTAAGAAATGTATGTTGGATTAGGGAACATTTAGCCTAATTATGTGAAAAGAGCATTAGACTATGTGGAAAAAGCCGCTGCACATTGAAATAGACACCGAATGATATTTACTGAATATGTCAAATGTTTGTAAATGTCTACACCCATGAACCTTTTACACTTGAAGCTTTACCTGATTGAATTATGTTTTATGTTTTTTTTTTTTCTGCTGCCATGTTTTGTTTTTTGTTTTTGCGCTTGGGTTAGCCTACCATGAAAATATTAATTTGGTCATCTTTATTTCCTACAAATACAAAAGCAACAATTACTCTTTTCCCTGTTGGATTTTAATATTGGTATTGTGGCCATCTCCTCTTCATCTGTCAGTGGTGCTGGTGCAGGTTCTCCCCTGCACGCCCCTTGAATCTCTACCTTCTTGCTGTTGGCTGAGTAGAAATCAAATGTTTATTTCATTACACTAATTAAGAAATGTATGTTGGATTAGAGAACATATTTAGCCTAATTATGAAAGAGCATTAGATTATGTAGAAAATCTGCTGCACATTGAAATAGACACTAAATTATATTTATTGAATATGTCAAATGTTTGTAAAATCATGTCTACACCCATGAACCTTTTACACTTGAAGCTTTACCTGATTGAATTATGTTTTATGTTTTTTTTTTTTCTGCTGCCATGTTTTGTTTTTTGTTTTTGCGCGTGGGATAGCCTACCATGAAAATGAAGATTAGTTCAATAACTTACCGTTCTGCCTGTTTTCACCCCTGAC